GAAACCAGGGGCACTGGTGAGGGCGCAGCAGCCTAAAAGGAATGTGCTCCACTGATGTGCTCCCTGTGCTCTGCACTCACCAAACAGGGTCTCCAAACGCTTTTGAGATACACAGAGTCCTCCTCATGCTCCTTCAGAGAAAAGGGCCTTTCTGCCTATCTATACAGGGGGTTCAGAGAAAGGCGTAAAGCCTTGCCCCCAGCACAGCACTGAGGGGTAGAGACACAAGCAGAGCTCTGACTCAACCCTGCTCCTGTGTGGGGAGGAAGATGGCAGAGCTGCTGGCCACAGGGCTCTGACCTAAGCACCTTATTTTCCCAAGAAAATTCCCAGCAGGAAATGCTCCAAAAAGCAGCATCCTAAGGACCTAAGTCCTTTTCAGTTTGAGGCAACGTGGGAAAGATCACAAATAAGGGAATGAACATGGCACCAGCAACAGAAGCTCCGGGCTTGGTGGGCCCAGGGAGGCATTGTGGGGGGGGGGGAGCATAGGAGAAGCCTCAGATGTACACTTGCCTGGGGCCTCCAAGGACTTTGCATATGGAGCCTATTTTTTAATGAAATTTTAAAGCAGATTCTGCTTAGGGCTTAAATAAACAAACAAAGATGCTTCCTTAATGGAAAAAGCTCTGTCATAAAATGGTGCTGCTGTAGGTGTGCTGGGTTGCAGTCAGGTCTCACTGGTTGGTGTTCCAGGAAGGAAGATAAAAAAGGATAGAGGGAGAGAAGGAAGAAAAGAAGAAAAGGAAAGAAAGAGGGAGTGGAGAAGAAACGGAGGGAGGGGCTGAGAGAGAAGGAAGAATGAAGGGAAGTAGAGAAGGTCAGTGAGCAGCAGAGAAAAAAGGAAGAAAGAATGTGTAGGAAAGGATAAAAGGGGAAGGCAAGATATAGCAGGAAAAGGGAAAGAAACAATTTTCTCCTCCTTTGCCCCAGCAAATGGAGGCCAGCAGGGTGGTACCTGGCTGCAGCCCTCCCCGTGCAACTGTCCTACCAGTTGGAGATGTTAAAGAAAGGCTCAGATCCCCACTCCTTGCCAAATCCATCCTCCCTGACCCTGTCCTGCCCAAGCAGCTGAGCCCCAGGGACAGGGCGCCGTGTTCCTGCGCTGGGCTTTTCCATGCACAACAGAGCCATGTGGTCACTTCCCTCCATGGCAACAGCTCCCTTTTCAGCTCCTACCTCATAGGTGTCTGGCCACCCTGGCTGGCTCCTTTCACTGCCCACTGTCCTGCAAGTACACCTCCCCTGAGCTCTCCTCTGCTGAGCCTTTTGGACAGAATCAACCTGGGGCCTTGACTGATAAGCACAGTTTCTTAACTTCTCTGAGCAATGACTTCACCTCTCAAATAAGGATAAGAACGTATATTTGGCCAAGTAGTTCAAAAGGCTAAATGAGATGATAGCTACTGAGCATCTTGTGTATGCCTGGCACGATACTACACATCTTTTTGCCTTACACAGACTAGCAATACCTTGCTAACAGAGGGAGGGCAAGGATGAGCTCATGGCATATCTCCGGGGTCTACCACCCCACAGCTGTCCACTGCAGCAGCGGAGAGATGTTCTCTTATCTCAGAGCTGGAGAAAGATCAGAGCATGCATCTCATGAGTGACACAGACCTGGTTCACACTTTCCACAGCTTACCAACCAAGAATAAAACTTGCACACATCAGTGTAGTTTTCTAATGTAGTGGAGAAGCAGCTGGGCTTGGGATCACTTCCCGAGGTAGCATTGTGAGGATCCACTTAGCACGTTGGGCCAGGCTTTCAGCCCAGCAAGGCCTTCTCTTTTGGGAAAAGGGGTATTTTATGAAGTGTAGGGGTCTGATCACCCAACTCTACTCTCAATTAATAAAGCAATGCACCTTCATCATCAACAATCATCACAAAATGTTAATGAAACCTCCAGAGAAAACTGAACTTAACCTTTTCACCAAATTGTTCTTTCCATCAGTATATAGCAAACACCCACTGTGTGTCACATTAAGATGCTGGGCTAGATAGAAAACAAAGACAGGACACGGCCCGCCTCCTGCAGGAGCTTAAGTGAGAGCAAGAGGAGGGACCCAGAGGACCTTGTTTTCCATGTGCATGAAAGCTGCAGATGAGACAATTCACAAGTGTGGTGGCTGTTCACCAGAGGGTGACCCCAAAGTGCAGGAAAGTTGTTGCCACTGTCTTCATGGAAATGGGAGAACTGAGGAGCGGAGGACATGTTTTGCAGGCTTATCAAAGCTCAGATCTGCATTTCACCAGTGCAACCAACAGCCAAGTGTGGGCAGAATCCAATTGTTTGTAGCCTGATAACTACTACGTTCATACCCTCATCCCGAAGACCATCTTCCCAACCTGTCCCATTTTCTGTGCTCATTTGGGACATGTAGTTGTTTTCTCATTATCCCTGTGCTTGTCATTTGTTTTGCTCTATAGTTGTTCATTATAACTATAATTTATTGTGTTTCATTTGCAAAGAAAAGCTAATCATTTACGTAGAAATGTATTTGACTGATTTTTTGTGTCCCATCCAACCCATTACTTAGGACTGTGTGATCTCCCATCATGTTCCTTGGCATTGTAAACACTGAGATTTCACAGGAGAAGATTAACAAAAAGCAGAGAAAATTATGGGACTGTTTTTGTTTGTTTTTGTTCTGTTGTAAAACATTCAAAATGGAGGCAACTTTTTAATTGTGTTTTTATGTAGTTAATCTTTAAGGCAGGGAGGCACAATTTTATTAATTTCTAAATTAATGGCACAGATTTGATGAAATTAGGACTAGAAGCAATAGTTGCTATTCTGGATTCATTCAAAAACAATATTATGCATCAATAAATGCATTCAGTAAATTTTATGCAGTTGGCAAATTTTATTATGCATCTACTAGGTGTCAGCCACTCTTCTTGGCTCCAGGGAAAAAAGTGAATGAAATGAAGTTTGCTCTCTATTGGTGATTATAATACTGTGAAAAGAGATGACGAATGAGCAAGGTATACAGTAAGTCGAGGAGTGACACATGCTGAGATGAAAAACAGAAGGGTAAGGAGGTGGAGAGGGTGTGAGAACTGCTTTACATGAGATGGTCAGTGAAGGCCTCTTTCCTAAGATGAGCAAATCAGAAAAGTGTGTTTCTGGAGACAGAGATCCAGGCAAAGGTAGAGGAGCAGTCAGAGCACAGTGCCTGAGACAACAAAGACATGGCAGGTGTGGAAAAGGAAAAGCAATGAAGCCTACCTGCCTGGAATGGAACAGGGGAAGCGGGTGAGTTGTAGGAGATGAAGTCAGAAAGACTTCACATAGGATTCCATAGACCTTCGAAAGAACTTCTGGTATTGTGCAGGGTAAGCTGGGAATCTTCTCAGAAGTTCTGAACTCATTCAGCAAAGCTGGCTTACTCTAGGTTTTAGAGGTCCCCTCTGACTGCAGTTTAGAGAATAGATCCAGGGGTGGAAGAGGGCAAGAGCGGATGGGCCAGTGGGGCCGCTGCAATAGTCCAGACATGCGCTGACGAACTCTTAGCTCCATGTGACATTTATCTGATGCTCACCATAGTCTTTCCTTGACACACATCAGCTCTTGTTTTGTTTAAAGAACTTCATATTCAATAGCCAAACACAAAATATAAATCTTCTTACATGGACCATAACATGGAATAAAACTGCATTACCAGTGTATTTATTTCATCTCATTTACACTAATATAAAGGAAAAAGCATGATTTTTTTCTGCATAAAAATCCTCCTAGCAGTCTCAAACTTTTGAGATATTAGTAGCATATCAGATTATAGATTAAGAACTCTATTAAATATTTTTCTTGTTGTAAAACTGTTTCATCACCTCTAAACTGCTCAGATCAGATGTTCATTACCCCTGAAACTTCTAAACTGCTAAACGTTTAAACTGCTCATATCAGACTTTATTACCCCTAAAATAGCGATGCTTGTGGTGCTCATTTCTGGAGATCAAATTGGATACCAGGGATCATATCAAATTCAGATACTTCTAAATTATAGTATCTGAAAGTTTCCAATTTTATTAACACTAAACCAGTACTTCAGGAGAAAGCAAACGATGGCTAGTGTGTACTGCAATGTTTATGGTGGTCAATATTCACCATCCTCCCTACGGACCAGCTGCTGCAGAACAATTACATGCCATTTCCCACCAATATCAGGCTCGACCACTGGATTTATGTGAAGGACCACCTGGGCGACTTTCTTTGAAGAGGATCAACTGTCTGCATTTTGGCTGAACCTGACCTTGTTTCCATATAGTTATATGTACAGAGCTGGCTAGGACTTTTCCTTATCCCTTAATTGGCTTTAAGCAATGCATATTGGTTCCCCTGAGGTGCTAATATGTAGTCTTTGAAGCAAAGAGGACAGGGCAGCATTTCCCCAGGGTCCTGTAGTTCCCATGTGTAAGCCAGGGCAAGGTGGGATGGAAAGCCGTGCCCCACACTGTCAGCTGGGGTCAAGCCTCAAGATAGAGGTCCTCTCTTCCTGGGGCTTGAAAGATTACATATCAGAGCTAAAGAACCGAACCCAAAACATTAGATACTACCTCAGTTGTGTTATGCAGATTACTCTTCCTGCACATCCTTCTCTCTGCATATTGCAGAGGTGATTTCAGGCCTCCTACCTAGCCTAGCTCACGGCACTCACATACTTCCCGCCACTCTCACAGTTACTTGTCCTCAAGCCACTCCTTCCTTCACAAATAAAACACAGGTTCAGTCTTGGGTTAAAGCCTTTGTTCCAGTGAGCCATCATTCTAGCTGGACTTAGGATCCCCTGGCTCCCCATAACTACAAATATGCCTTAGTGTCTTTATTCTCACCATGGGCTGCACTGGAAGTGGTAGATTGGAATTAACTCTCTAAAATTCCAATAACTTTTCCATGAGATTACAAATATAAACTTTCTGGGCCACAGTGAGGACCAGGAAGGGCTCCCTATAGATTTACACTAGCCAATGAGAGGGAAATGAAAGTGGTCTATACCTCCTTTGAGCAGGAACTTCCAAAGCTGACACTTGGCCTCACCATTGTTCTTTTCTTCTACCATGATGCTGAGAGACTCGTGGAGGGGCCGCTCCTTCACACTCAGTTCTGGAATAAAGACAACACACAGCAGAGCCCTGGTGGCCTGCACACTGTGACTTGAGAAAGAGAAAAAGGCCTGGTTTTTGTTAAGACACTGAGAATTGGGGATGATTTATTGCTGCAGCATAACTAACCCTGAGCAGACCGATAAAGATATGCAATTATCCTGCCTTATCCTCAAGGGATATGTTCTAATACCTCCAGTGGATACCTAGGGCCCAGATTTTTCTCTTCTAGGCTTGCAGGCTATGGTCATGAGACGAGAAGCTCTTCTCTATCACATGTCCCCACCATAATACGCTGCCTCAGTGCAGGTCCAAAACCAATGGAGTCAGTTAGCCCTGGACTGAAGCCTCCAAATGTGTGAGCCAAAATTAACCTTTTCTCTTGATAAACTGACTAAATCATTTATTTGTTTCTGTGATGGAGAGTTGACTAACAGATTAATAATAACTAAAGTAGAATCATTATATAAATATACCATGATGAAAATTATTAAATGTCATCCCCCCAAAAAAAATCTTCATTCATCACTGCACTATGTTTTTAAATCACAGGTGACCTGTGGGTCCCTTGAACCATGGAAAGCAAAACTGTGGATAAGGGAAATTACTAGTTATCTGTATTTTGCCTGTTTTTGCTGTAAATGGATAAAGCCCTGGAGTAGCATCTGTTGCTTTCTTGTCAATCACTGCAGTCAGATTTTGATTGATGGAGAAGGATTTGGAGAAAACCTTAGTGATATTTAGAAGGCTTCTTACAGTTTCAAGTGTTCTGTACGTTTTCTCTTACACTTTGAAGGTTTTCTAATCCAGAAAGTTCCCAAGGTGCACTATCATTTATAGCTTTTCCTTCAGTTCCTTAACCTAGGTCCTTCGGTATAGGATATTTTCAAATCCCTTTCAAAACAGTAAGCTCAATTTTGAATCAAGACCTGCTGGCATGTAAAGGAGATGAAAAGAAATGGATGAAACATCATGCCTCCCAGAGACAGGCTCTTATTACCCCAACTTTTCTCCCAATAATGTATTTTAGGGACTATGAAGTCAGAGATGTTCCTATATATAGATCAGAAGTCAGAGATGTTCCTATATATAGATCAGATAATTTCTATTTTCTCAGTTTAAAAGTCTTCAGTAGTTTATCAATGCATTTACCACAAAAACTTAAACTCATTAACTGCACATTGTAATTTCATAAGCATGAACTAGCTCCTAATGGCATCCTCACCTATTGCCTGATCCTCTCTCCGTTTGCTGTCTCTACTGGTCTTCAGTTTTCTGAAGACATAAAGGTCTTCCCTGTGTTAAGGAATGCTGTTTCCTTAGTCACTTTCCTCATCGCTGAGATCCAATACCCACAATTTAAAGGAGGAGAAGTTTATTTTGGCTCACAGTTACAGCCCATGGTCGGCCTTCTCCGAGGTAGAAAATGGCATGGCAGAGGGGCATAGGGAAGGAAAAACTGCTCACTTCATGGTGGCCAGGAAGCACAGAGAAAAGGGAGGAACCAGGGAGGGAGATCTACCCTTTGAGGCCAGAACCTAGTACCCGCCTCTTCCACTCAGATACCACCTCTCAACAGCAAGCTGACTGTAGGGTCCCCAAGGTCCAGTCCTCTTCCAAAAGTGCCCCCTTTGAGCACATGTGGCCTTTGGGGGACATCCTTGATTTAAACTGCAACAACTATTGTTTCTTCCTCTGGAACATTCCTAACTCTCCACATATTTTATTTTCCAAAGCATAAAAGACGCTGCCAGAACAGGTGGGCTCCAAAGAAGGGGAGGAGAAGTATCATACTGCAGCTGCCCATGTGCTTCACAGCTCTTAGAAAAGACAGGAAAGCAGAGCAGCAGGCTAGGGACTGCCTTACCATCCTCGCTCAGATTTTTCCAAAACCTTGCCTTCAGATGATTGCTATGTCCATTCTTTGAAGAGGCTCAGCCAATGCCATTGACAACCACTATATTAGTTACTTCCCCATTCCTGGGACAAAGGCCTAGCACCCACAACTGAAAGGAGGAAAGGTTGATTTTGGTTCTCAGTTTTAGTAGATTCAGTCTATGGTCAGTTGGTTCCAAGTCAGAAATGGCACAGCAGCACAACATGGGAGAGGAAACCTGCTCAGGGTATGGTGGCCAGGAAGCAAAGAACAGGGAGAAAATGCTGAGAATGCACTCTTCCAAGACACATCCCAGTGATCTGCTCCTTCCTGCCAGGCTTGCCTCTGAACAGGAGATTTTTGGGGGATATTTTAGATCCAAATCATAACTACCCTGAGAGCCAGAGGTGCTAGTACCAATTAATAATTGTCATGGTTTTTGTCTGGATGTCCCCCTAAAGCCTCATACAGTCATGGGGGTGGGCTTTTCCGAGGCAGCTGAATCTAGAGTTTGTGATTTGCTCATTCTCTAGTGCCTGGAATGGGGGTGTGTGAGTGCTACATCCGTCCTAGGGCAGGTAGCCTGCATACACTATAAGGGAGAAAAAGAGGCTTGCTTCCTCCCTTTTGCTGTTGTTGCTTTTGCTGTCTTCTGCCTGCCATGAACAACTGCCCCTGTGCCATGCCACCCTGCCTTGGAGCCGGCAGATAATGGACTGAAACCTCTACAAACTAAGAGCTAAATAAGTCTTTCCTTTTTAACACTGAGTGTTGGGCATTTTGTCTCAGTGAAGAGAGAAAAGTAACCCAGACAATAACAATAGCTCTCCTCTTTGTTTCCTAAATTTTATGTCCCTGCCAAATTCAGTTTTCCTCCAAATTGTTGACTAATGCTATCTCTACAGTCAAAATGGCCAATGCATAATCAGAAGCCAAATCCTTTTATGACGGGAAGTACAGATCTTGTCTTCCTTTAAGTGGCTGGGACTACCACCACTGTGATTTCCTTTGCATAATAGTCCTGCCCTAATATTTTCTTTTGCATAATAGCCTATGTGTTGCTATTTCAAGCCCTATATTTTATTATTGTCACTTTGTTTCCTAAAAACTACATGAATTCTACTGTAAATAGCTTGGCTTCCTATATTTTTGCAGGTCCTCACTCCAAGAGGGGAAAAAAAAAAGGATGAATTATTTTATTTGTCTTGTTTAATTTTCCAGATTCCCCCAGGGACCATACTTAAAGCACACCAAATGGAAGCAGAAAAATGAGATTGTTGAAAGATGATTGGCCCTAGTGCTGTTTACTTGGCTTTCAAGTTAAGAAAAAGGTCCTTCCATGGGCTGTGGTCCATTTGCAAAGACTGAAAATCTCTCTTTTCTCTGTGACATTCTCAACAACAACCATAATGCTTCTCCCTACATTTAGCAATGGTGTACACATGAAGTAATGTGCATGTGCATGCATGCACACACACACACATGCATGTGTATTTGCACACACTTCTGCACACATGCAAGCCAAAAAGGATGAAGGGCTTGTTCTGTGATCTTGCAATAAATCTCTGTAGAGTTAAAGACCATGATGATGCCTGCATGGAACCAAGCAAATACTTCCTTCTTGATTATTATCCAAAACTTGAGTTGTTTAATTCTTTTTAAAACTTTTGCCATCATCAACGTTCTCCTTATAAAAATATCCCACATCTTACAACCTATCATGAACCAAATAAAATAGTATTACTGTTATTGCTAATAACAAAAGCTAGTTTTGACAGCTTATTATATTCCAGACGCTAGACTAAAGAGTTCATATTATTTAAGTTATAAAAGAACCCTAAAAAATAGATATGATCGTTATTTGTTCACAGTAGTGGTAGTATTATTACTATGATATTCCAGGCTTAGAAGGGTTGATTAACTCCTGTATCATCTCACAGCTAGGAAGGTGACTTGATTTGGATGAATCTCCCCTCAACACACTCAAGGGCATGGTGTTGAAGGCTCATTCTCAGGGTGGAACTGTTGGAGGGGTGAACTTTAAAAGGTGGGTCCTAGTAGGAGGTCCTTAGGTTACTGGGCGTGTGAGTGTGAAGGAGGTTATGACAACCTGGTCTCTTCCTCTTTCCCTTTGCCTTCTAGTCATGAGGTGGGGTGTTTTCCTGCACTGCACGCCCCCTGTCATTGCCACTTGGCACACAGACCAAAAGATCAGGATAGGATCCACTAATTTTGCACTGGAACCTCCAGGACCATCAACAAAACTAAACCTTTTCTCTTTATAAGTTAATTATCTTGGGTATTCCATTACAGTGATGGAAAGCTGTCTAATACAGAAGAAGAATAGGTGGGTTTCTGATCCCAGCCTTCCGGCTCCAGGATCCATGTCTCTAAGCAGAAACTGGTTTCTCACTATGGAAGCCAGGAAGCAGGAAGCAGAACAGCAGGACAACAGAAAATTCAACATCTAAGTAGGGCTAAAATCAGTAACCATGTTGCCTAATATATCCAATTCCACCTAAAAACTCTGCCATTTTGCTGTATACACTATAGTATAAACTGCAGCTATTTCCCAAAATTCTTTCTCCCTTTCTCAGTTACAGTTACAACACTGTATCACTTTGACTTCACCCACTGCAACAATCTATATGTGTCCCAGTCTTATAATGAAGCCCTTTGGGTAGTTCCTTCCATCTCATTGGCTGGGGTACAATATGGAACCTTCTTATACTAACTTCTACCCTAAATTTAAAATATTTGTGTAGAGACCCAGTATCAGTATATTTATAGTATATGTGAATATCCCCTTCCCCACTGTCAAAAGAGAAATAATTTCTGGGAGAGATATTGCCACCAAGACAGATGATCTTCTCTATATCAGGATTGTGGGCAACCAAAGACATATCATGATCTATTGGAGAGGAACAGAATGGAAATTGGTCCTTGTGAAAAAAAATCTCATGGAATGTTCACTTAGAAAAATGTATTCATAATTCAGCTTCTACAAAATTAAAAAGCAGAGTTGGAATAATTTATATTTGATATCACCATGGCAGGGAGTATACAGTTCAGCTCCAAATTTTAGAACACAGAGAGAGAGAGAAAGAGATGTTTCTTTGGGAGAGTGCAATGTGACAGCCAGACACAGCCTCAGCACTAACATGGAAAGACATTTGTGTGATCACCTGCAAAAATCACAGCAGGCGCGGGGCTCTGGGCAGCCTCCTGGAAAATGTGACAAATAGCCGAGCTGCCCACCCTGGGACATACCTGTGTACAAAGGATGAAATTCTGACTGGTAAATATATTAATTATTTCCAAGCCTGGCAATAACTCCTAGGGCTTCTATACTATGATTCCCAGGGCAGCACTCTGAGTGCTGGAGAAAGAGGGATGGGGTGAACCATGTGTGGTTTTAGGGCCTCCTCCAGCAACCATCTTCCATTTTTTAAGCATACTTAAATAATGTCCAAAATTGGGCTGGAAAATGGAAAATGGAATAATTCAGTCACTGCCTGAACAGATCCCTAAACTTGGACCTGTCACTCTTCGTTCCCAGCATGCTGGGATCTCATTATTCTTGCCTCTAGTAATTTTCTTTCATCTTCTCTGGAGAAAGCCTCTGCCCCAACTTATCCCATCTCTTCACTGCCCTGTCATTTCCCCTGGCCCTTCTGACCTCTTGGTCTCAGAGGCTGCTTCCTCTCAGCATCTCTATACACATGGGAGCCATTCTTCTGGATCTGAAGTCAGCTGAACACAGCACACTGTGTTGGTTGCCTGATCTTTCACCCTGCTCTTCCCTCTTCACCTGAGTGGGCAGAAATTGGTATTATGGTGTGAATCTTGAATGTCCCCCAAGGGCCCTGTGGTGAAGGCTTGGGGTCAAGCTATTGAGAGATGCTACGTTGAGGTGGTAGAATCTTTAGGAGGAGGGGCCTACCAGAGGAAGTGAGGTCACTTGGGGTGGGGCCTTAAAAGGGATTGTGGGACCAGGGCCCCATCTCTTCCTCTTTGATTCACAGCCACCATGAAGTGAGGTTTCCTTTGTCTTGTGCTCACGCCATGACATTCTCTCTCATCAAAGGCCTAAAAGCAACAGGGTCAAGCAAAGATGGACTGAAATCATAAGCCAAAGTAGCCTTTCCTCCTTATGAGTGTTTGTCTCAGTGATTTTTTTCAGAAAGGCAGAAAGCCAACATAATTAAATTATGGAAAATGACTTACCTAGATGGCCCTCCACATTCATGGGCTCCACATCCATAGAGTCTATCAAACTAGTATCAAAAATATCCAGAGAAAAAGACTACCTATGGTAAATACATAAAGACTCTTTTCTTGTCATTATTCTGTAAATAACACAGTATAACAACTATTTATATTTATGTTGTCTAAGATATTATAAGTCATCTAGAGATGGTTTATAATATATGGTGGGATGTGCACAGGTTATATGCAAATACTATATTATTACATGAAAGGAAATTGAGCATCTATGGAATTTGGTATCCCAGGAAGGTTCTAGAATCAGCCTCCTGTGGATACCAAGGGGAAACTGTAGCTAGAAAGGAAAAGCTTCCTTCTAGTGTGGATGCTTGCCTATGAAGCATGGCAGAGTTATGTCACATGTAATGGTCCATGGTGCAGGGCCAGTGAGCATGTGGCTCCATGCTGGCCACTCAGGATAGAGCTCAGGGGCTGGACAGACCTCAGGGGACAGAGCATAACAGAAATGTGAGAGAAGTAGGGGTTCATCTGAGGCTTTTAAACCAATTAAAAGATGACCCAGCACGGAAAACAGAGAAAATTTTTACATCTTCTAGAACTGCTGCGTCTAGGACTTCCTATCAGAACAGTTATGCACTTGTTTCCCACATGGTCTTTGAGATGTGACAGAAACCCTCAGCCTGCTTCCACACTTCCCCAGTACTCACTACCAGTGCTACACACGTTTGCCTTTCAATAAATGGCCCTCCTTTTGTGCTTGCCCTCGGAATGTATGTCTTATCTTCCAAGAGTTGCTGAGTTCCTTGGTTGTGTCCCACAGCCTGGAACTGAAGCATGTGTGCTAAATGTATGATTATTTAATCTCTAGTAAGATGTATTTCAGCAGTTAATATCATCATATACAAAACAGCAGGGTGCACTTTTATTATCTTTGCAGAATTTGTGTTTATGTTTATTGTTTTGTTTTAGTTCTTGGTTTAAAACAGCACATTATTACATTACAGTTCTGGAGGTCAGATATCCAAAATAGGTTTCACGGAGCTAAAATCTGGGTGTCAGTATGGCTGCACTCTTTGGTGGCCCCAGAGGAGACTCTGCCACCTTGCCCTCGCAGCTCTGGGGGTTGCTCCCACTCCCTGGCTCCAAACCCTTGTTCATTCCAAGGGGAGCAGCAGAGCATCTTCATACCTCTGTCCAACTCTGACTCTCCTGCCTCTCTCTTTCCCTCATAGGGATCCCTGTGATGACATCAAGCTCTGCATGAGAGGGTTCAGGATCCACCACCCCGAAGTATGACACCTTAGCATACTGGGCATCTTGTGTTGAAGGAATCTGAGAAACAGCAAGTGCAGGCAAGTGTGTTAGTCAGTGTCCCATCACTATGATAGCCATAATAATCAACTTATTGAAAGAAAGACTGATTCTGCCTTTTGGAAGTTCCAGTCTACGGTTGATGAGGCAATACACCATAGCATGAGTATGACATGGTGGAGCAAAATAGCTCACTTCATGGCCAGGGAGCAAAAGGGAGAAAAAGAAAGCAGCTAGGGCCCCATATTCCTCTTTGAGGGCACAACCCCACTGGCCTAACTTCCTCCCACTAGGCCACTTTCTAAAGTGTCTACACCAGGGCTGGGGATTTAGCTCAGCGGCAAAGCGCCTGCCTGGCAAGCGCAAGGTCATGAGTTCAGTTCCCGGTACTGGAGAAAAACCAAAAAAATTAAAAATTAAAAATTAAAAAAAAAATAAAGTGTCTACCCCATCCCAATGACAGCATGGGCTGGAGGCACAAGGGCCCACTGGGACACTTAAAATACAAATTAAAGCAGAAGACCTAGCTGATTTTTTCTGCCCTTCTCCTCTGATGCAGGTCATAAGGTCCTGTGTGAGAGGTGGCCTCCCTGGACCTGGAAGAACGGAGCACCCCACCTCCAGGATAAGGGACTCCAGGAAAAATCTGAGCAAACAAGCTTTGATGTTCCCCCAAGTCATGCTTTTTTTGACCCCATCATATTTTCATTCTTCATTAAATCTACTATGAAAACATTCATGTTTAACTATTTCTTCAGGTGTTCATTTCTTTATGAATGACTCTACATCACATAAAACAAATAAATTCATATGTCTTTTGTTATATGAGTCACAGTGAACCCAAGATGCTTGACGAAAAAGATGTATTTTTTCTCTTCTTCACCTGGATAATCCAGGATAATCTCCCCATCACAAAATCCTTAATCCATTTGCAACGTCCCTTTGCCATGTAATGGAATAAGTTTACAAGTTCCAAGGATTAGGAAGATGGCCCATTAGTCTGCCTAACACAAACAAGGAACTGTTACTGTATTAGTCAGCTTTCTGTTGCTGTGATATAATACCTCAGAAAATCAACTTATAAGAAGGAAAGATTTCTGAACAACTAATTTGAACACAACAATATGCAGTGTAACAACCATTGCTGAATTCCTACCACCTTGTTTAGTGAAGCTTTGTATCATTTCTAATTTTTTATTACTTTTTATTCTCTTTAATTGTTTGATCAATCTTGTGTTCTTACATCTGGTAATCTCAGCAACTTCACTGAAGATAACAATATGTAATATAACATCCATTGTTAATTCTTATCATCTTGTTATGAAATTCTGATCATTTTTATTGTTTTGGGGTTGTTTTGTTTTTGTCTTTATTGTTGTTATTTTGTTATTTTTTTCCCTTTAAAATAAAAAAGAAAGATTTATTTTGCCTCATGGTCGCTGGCTTTCTCGTGCTTAAGCCTATGATGAGGCAGGGGGTACATGGAAGAGCAACACTGCTCACCTCACAGCAGCTGTGAAACAGACAGAGAGAGAAAGGAGTGAGACCCCACCAGTCCCAATATCACCTCCTCCAGGGAACCTTCAATGATCTCACTTCCTTCCATGAGGCTTTATTTCCTCAAGTTCCTCCTCCTCCCAATAATGACAGGGGCTGAGGACCAAGTCTTTAACACATGACACTTAGGAGACACTTAAGGTCCAAACCATAATGGGTACTGTCTTCAGGCCTTGAGGTGCAGGAAAGGAATGGTTTCCAGAACACAGAGAGGTATGATGGTGGGGGAGGAAGAGGCAAGAGGCCCCGTGGCGGAGGAAGTAAATACCAGACCCAATCTCTCCATATTTTGCAAAATAGTTTTGAGATGATCTGACTTAAAGTGGAGGCTACATAGTACACACAAATTTAACTTTAGGGATCTTGGCTGGAGAGTTAGTCCACTAAAGGGAGAGTCACGGTAACACAGAAGAGAAAGAGTTCAGACCCCAGAGCCAGACTGCCTGGGTTCAAACCCAGTGCTCTCCTCTACTGGGCACGCTGGACAATGTATTTCAGCCCTCAGTATCTCTCTCTGCAAAACAGGCGTGACCAGAAGACCACCTGATTTACAGGGTGGCTGGGATAATTGAATGAACTGGTATTTATGGATCACTTAGCATGGCTAACAGTAAGTGCTATTGTCATTGTTCTTGAGAAGAGGTTGAAAGTGGATTTTGATGAGAGCCCTCTTCATGCTGCAGAAAAAAACAAAAATGGTTTCATATTAGAGAGTATGAGGTCAAATACTCAGAACTGCAGGTCCTGATTTTCAGACAACGTATTTTGCACATTGGGCAGCACTCTGTGGCTTCCTCCAGAGTGCAGAGCAAACAGGGCTTACATATTTAACAAGCACATCTGGAAAGGCCGGCGAGTGCTCAGAAGCTACTGTGGAATTCAATAGAACACCAGCTCTGCGATGCATTTAAAACATGGCTACAATATCTTTAATGCTTCTATCTTTAAACTATAAAGCCTACCTCTCCTCCCCTCTGAGTATTGGCTGGACTTCAGGGCTGCTTCTAGTAAACAAAATAAAGCAGAAGTGATGTGTGAAACTTTGGGAAAACAGTGGTAACTTGGTTCACGAACTTAATTTGTTCTACAATTTTGGATAAGATGGCCATGCTTGTCTTTGTGTGGGCAAGATGGCTGCAGTCGTGTCTGTCACCTGATACAGTTTGCAAACAAAAGCAAAATTTTGCCCAACACTTGTGTGTGCAGGCCAAGTTATCTGCAAACAAAAGCACTGGTGAATCGAGGTATCACTGTGTATCTTAAAAGGTATGGTGGAGTCCTTGCTCCTTTTCAGTCAGGGCTTTCCAGAGAAACAGAACCAAGAGAATATACAGACAGACGGGTAGAGATCCAAAGATAAGGACAGGGTGGGGGGTGAGGATGGAGAAGGGGGGAAGGACAGAAGGCAAGGGAGGGGGAAGTACACATGGATCTCTTAGCGGACTAACCCCCATGATCATAGAACTAACAGCTCCACAATAAGATGCTTATACCCTGGAGAGCCAGAGAGGTCAACAGTGTGGCTCAGGCCAAGAAGCAGAAGCTTCAGAATCACAAAGGCCAACATGCAGCCTCTACTCTGTCCCCAGAGAGACACTGGTGCAAATTCCAGATGTCAAAACCCAAAACACCCAGAGTCTGGTGTCCAAGAGCAGCAGCAGGAGAAGCAGGTCCTGCTCCAGAAGGCAGAGCTGGAGACAGAGGATGTCCATCTAAGTCCCTGGCTCACCAGATGGAGCTACCGCATTAAGAGCAGGTCTTCCCTGCTTGGTTCTCTCCCACAAGCCACTCTTCTCTGGGAACACCATGCACACACCCACTA